CGGTACAGACCTTTGGGGTAAGTTTTGATTTCCGAGATCGCCCTGCTCTTACTCGTTTTGCCATCTCTAATAAAGAGCAAACATAGCTCCACACCTTCTGCCTTCAAGAACTCCATCTTTCCAATTGGCTCCTCGGTAACTGAGGACAGACAGTCGAATAGATTCTCCATATATTCCTCCTCGTCGCTGTCCTTTTCGGGGTCGTCTCGTCGGTATGGAGCGAGGTTTGTGAGGAATATTTCGACGCCATTCGCTTCAGCTATGCGATTTCGATTCGGTCGAGAGGATTGTGTGAGTATGGAGAGGATTTCGGAGGCGTATTGTTTGTTCTGAGTCGTGGGTTTCTCGGATTTCTGGATTCTGTCTAGTAACCACTGGACGAGAGTAATTTGTTCGCCTATCATGTCCGTATTTGAGGGTTGTGATAGTAAGTTCTCGATGACACTGAGAGAATGGTATACGCCCGATGCGTCGGCCGAGTCGCTTTCGTCGAATCGAGAGAAGTTTGAGATCAGTAAACTGAGCAAATCTGCGTCAAGGAATGCTGTCACTACAGCATCCCATTGCTCTTGCTCTCCTCCAACGTCTTCATCTGTGAGCTCTGATATGATCTCTATAGCTGCAATTGCAATGTCCGTGTTCTCATGCGCCAGTAGCTCCACTAATTTCGCTGCAGCTGGACCCTTCGCAAAGTCCTCATATAACTCCGGGTGCTCCGAAAGTATACTGAGGTCCTTGATTCCCTCGTCCAGGTCGGCTTCCGAATCCATAAACTTGGTTGGGTCATCTTCATACTTGGCGCGCAGCGACGCATTCTTGTTGACCTTCTTCTCGAAGTTAAGCGCCAGCTTTCGTAGCCAGGCTGCATCGTATTTGACTTCTTGTATAGCGTCCTCGCCATCCTGTGCGTCCACATAGTCCATAGCATCCCGTGCATCCTCATCTAGGCCACCTCCAAAGAATCGACCGTCCTCATCGTCGCCCTCCTCGTCCTCGAGATCCGGGGGCAGTGACGGGCCCGCTTCCTCATCGTCATCCTCTTCCGTCACTAAGGCTTGCGCGACCCGTTTTACATCGCTATTTGAACCTAGTTTGGCAGTCTTGTAGGTCTGTGTTGGGTCGGCTTCATTTGGGTTCTCGAATTTCCGCTTTATTGAACCGTTTGTGCTCTTAAACAAATCATCTATGCTCGTCATTTTGACCGGAAAAGATTGCAAGAAAACCGGATTGTGGAGATGTCGCTGAGTAAAAGTAATTGCGAAGCGAGTTGCAGTCGCGTACATGCTTTGGATCGTCAAGTGAAAGTGATGGGTGGTCCAAGCTTCACTAGCGCGTTAGGCAAAGACCGCGTCCGCTGCATCTGGGCACATCCACACCGGTATCCTTGGCGGACCATGCGAGGCAGAGGCAGCGCACTGTAGCCACAAGACCATTCAAATGGCGCACTCATCTGCACCCTCTCACTCGACACGGCGTGATGTCTGAAGCTATTCACTCCCCTCGTTACCCATCGCTCGTGGTCAGATTGCGCTATCAGCCTCTGTGTGCGGCTTGTACGAATGTACTGTCACATGGGTTCTCTGATAACAATGACGAAGAATCGGAGGAATGGAACTGGAGTATAGAAGCCCTCCGGAAGAGCTCGATTTCGTGCCGCTGTTGCGTGTTTTGGCTTCAGGTCTTGAAAGCCAGTCCGTGGCTCGCCCATCGCAACGACAGCGTTGTCTACCTTACGACCGCTATTGTAGGCTCACAGCATAGCCCACCGTATGAATGGACACAGCACGATGCTGGTCAAAAGCTTGTCAAGAATGAGGATTTTGCTCATATGACCGTGTACAAAAGATATTACAGGCCTCGTTTGGCCGTAGGAGATCAGCATACTTTCATATTGCCTACCGCCATGATGGAAGCGCAGAGTTCGGAAAATGTTGATCCAGGCAACGCGTTCTGTGGCAGACCTGTCGGCTCAGCAGTCAACTTATCCCTGGTTCAAAGCTGGCTTAATCTATGCGCCAAAAACCACCGAAGTTCCTCCAATGTCAGCGGATCACATGCGTGGTATGAAGGAACAGAGGAACATAGCATATCTGAGCGTGGATGTGCCCCGGTAGCAAGCGAACCCATACCGAATTTTCGACTTGTTGACGTGAAGATGCGATGTGTGGTATGCATCAAACAAAAAACAGAATACGCAGCTCTAAGCTATGTGTGGGGTGGTTCGAGACGATTCGTCCTGTGCAAGGAGAACGCAGACTCGCTTTCTCTACCTGGAGCTCTGAATCACAAGGCCCTTGAGCTTCCTCAAACGTTTCGAGATGCAATTGAGTTCGTAGAGAAGCTCGCGATACGCTACATATGGATTGATGCACTGTGTATACAACAAGACGACTCAGACCAGCTCGTGGCACATATGAATTCAATGGATGTTATTTAACGTGATCCACCACTGAGCGCCCACCCCCACCGAGCGCCCACTAACACCAAAATCACCAAATTTTTAACACTAAATTTCTTAACAACTATAGCACCTATTAATAACGCGCTTGTAGTAATTAAATCCTTAACTCTTAGAGAAGATTTTATATACTTAGAAATAGTAGAAAAGTATAGTTACTTATAGTTAACCTTATCTAGACACTACTAGAAAATTTAGTAGGTATATACTACTACTCTACTAAATAGTTAAATACTTAATACTATATAAGAAAGTAAGCTTATAAAGTATATTAAAGAGCTTTATAGGTAAGGATTACCCCTTATATAGACTATTATTTAAAATTTTATAACTAAAATAATAAGGAATCTAGTAGGTAAAAATTAGGTGTAGCGCTTTATTAACTGCTATAATATTAATCTTATCTCCTATTAGGCTACTAGGCTTAATTATAACTACTTTAAAGCTAATTCTACCTTTAAGTATAGCTTATACTTTAAGCTTTTATACTAAAAAATAGAGTAATATAATATTAAGAGTTAGTATATTTATAATATAGATAAGAAAGGTTTTCTTATTAAAGTACTATTAAAAACTAAACGTGTATTTAATAAGAGCGCCTATAAGTAGAGAAAGATTAAAGCTATACTCTAGGATAGTAATAGGGAGTAGATTACTACTATAGCTTGCATATACGCTAATAGTACTACTCTTACCTCTACTCTTATTTATTAGTCCTAATCTAGAGCTCTATAGGATACCTAGTTATAAGATTTTAACCTATTATAATACTAAGCTTTCTTTATAGGATTACTAAGTAGGTAGATAAGCTATACCCTAGGGGTATCCTAGCTTAAGGAGGTGTTTAATTATAAGATAAAAGCTAAAGCTTATACTTTATACTAGCTCCTTATCCTTAATAGCTATAGATCTTATATAATAATAGAGTTTATTAAGTACTATAATAAATATAAGATCCTACTTATAATATATCCCCCTTATAGCACTTACACCCTTTAGCTACTTAATATTATAGTATTTGCTCCCTTTATAGCTTTATATAAAGCTTAACTATCTAGTTTTCTAGATAGCTCCTAAGGGCTTATAAGTATTACTAAGAGGGATTTCTACTAGTTATTTAATACTATATAGAGCAATACCTTTAAGAAAAAGCTAATATTAATAGCTTTTAAAGTAATAGGTATCTTACTACTTAACCCTAATATTATTCTTTTAAGGTTTAAAGTACTTATAAATAATAGTAACTAGCCTTCTTTAAGTAATAGTATAACCTTAATATTAAGTATAAGTAATTAGAGAAAGATAGAGTAGTTACTCTATAATACTATAATTAATATCTATAATAAATAGTTAAAGAAGCTTAGCTAGATAATCTATACTATATTAGTAAGAAATACTCTACTTAACTATAAAAATAAACACCTAAAGGCTACCCTAGCTAATAAGAAAAAGTGTAGGAAGCATAGTAAACCTCTATTATTACCCCCTAATAATAATTATAGTAGTAGTGCCTAATTTATTTTACTATTAAAGGTGTAACAACTTAGGTAGGTAGGGCATCTAAAAGGTATCCTATACGACTCAAAGGCATATGGGAGTGCGCGTCTATACAGAAAAGGATAAGATTCCTACACCTATAGGTCTTGTACGAAAGGACAAGAAGAATATACCTATTCTAACTATAGGCGAGCTATTCTCTATATATATTAGTAAGTTAGGCCTTTATTAGACTAGAATTAGTATAGAATAATAGGCAGGCAATTCTACCTTATTATTACACTACCCCCTCCTATAGAGAAAGGATAGTCCCTATCCTTAGGATTAGGTTTAGATCCCTCTTTAAAGAAGAGCTTTTACAAAATAAATCCACCTTTACCTCTACCTTTACCTTTACTTCTTCTTCCTAGGGTATAGACCCCTATCCCTAGCCTGCCTATAACTAGCCCTCTACCTACTAACTTTCTTACTCCTATATCCCTAATTTTTTAATTATTTAACCTAATCTATCTAAAATCTAGTAAGTATTTAATCTATATAATTAAATAGTTGCTAATCTAAATTAGAACCTTTAGCTATGCTAGTACTGCAGTACTACTAGGAGTCCTCCTAGTCGCTTATCGCGCTCTCTATATAAGAGCAGTTAGGGCTCTAGCTAGGGGCAGGTTTAATAATTTTAATTTTAAGTTAAAGAATTCTAAGAAGTGCTAGTACTATATCTCCTAGAATAAGTATTATAATCTAGTAAGTGTCTAAGTCTAATAGGGTTCCTTTACTAATCCTAGTAGATTCCTTCTTTTATTAGCTAAGAGTACTCTACCCTTAGGGGTGCTCTAGAAGAATACTACAGCCTAATTAGAAACCCTGCTAAAGGGGATAAGGATAAGGAAGCTATAGTTGCCTATTAGAAGGATATTAAGCAGTTTAAGGCTGCTATTTAAGAAACTACCTAAAACCTTGCTAAGTGCGTTACTATTACTAATACTTAGACTAAGAGTATAGAAGCTACTAAAATCCTTATAGCTACCTATTATACTACTATATCTAATTTACATTAGCTTTAGAATAGTATTTATAAGATAGTCTTAGTAGTTAGGGGCTTAATAAAGGCTATTAACAAGCTTAAGGAGGAATTAGCACTAAATTAGGAGGCAACTTTTCTAGTCTAGGCTAAGATAAAAACGTTCTATAAGAAAGCGTCTAAATTAGCTCTAGCTCCTACTACTACTCCTGCACCTGCCCTAATCCCTGCTGCACTAGTTATCTAGAAGCTAGCAAAGAAGAATAGTCTAGGCGCTATCTTAGCTAATATAGAGTCTAAACTAGGTTCTAATAGAGAGATAGACATAGAATAAAGAGGTTTCCTAGGGGTAGTGTCCTAGGAACCTTAAAGGTTCTAAATAGGATATAACAATAAATAATAAGAATAATAGTAATAGATAGTAGTTAATAGATAATGCGTAGCTAAATAGGATATAAATTAGTTCTAGTATTAGGCGTGATTATTATAAAGTAATATTAGATCCTCTTTACCTTTTTCCTAGGCTTAAATCTATTTTAGTAAGCTACGTAGGGGACCTAGCTAATTTAGATACTATTAGTAGAATGCCTATAATTTATAGGGAGCACCTATAAAGTTAGAGGTAGGATACTAAATAGGATTAGGATTATATCTAACCTACTTAACCTTATATTTTAGCTTAGATTAATATAATTTACTAGCTAGGATTTCTTCTACCTTCTATTCCTCTACACCTTGTATAGGAGTACTAGGGGGTTTTAGAGCCTCTTATCTAGGTAATAGGTCTTAGGGATCTTTGTATAGTATATTAGGAGAGAAAACATTATAGATCTTAGAACTAGGTAGCAATTAGAGGCAATACGCGTTTCCTACTTGTTCTAATACCTTAAAGGGACCTTCCTATTATTTAGATAGTTTTTAGCTAGGTTGTAAAATAGCAAGATTAGTAGTAGATAGATAAATATAGTTACTAACCTTCTAGTTAACTAGATAGTAATAGTAATTAGTAGCAGAGCGTATTTAGTCTTAAGCTCTTTCTATATTTTCTTTAGCAATCTTCTAAGCGTTATATATCTAAGTAGCAAGGGATAAGGCGTCCTTATAGTTTAGTTTCTCTAGTATAGTAGATAGGGTCTTTTCTAGTTTCTAATTCTAACTTTACTTTAGTAAGGAACTAAAGAGGAGCTAATATAGAGCTATGCTAATAGATAAATATAGAAAAGTACTTTAGGCACGGTCTATTATAGGTAGTAGGTTACTCTAGTTATCTTAGTAATAGGATACAAAAGGCCTTAGTCTCTAATTAATATACTTATTTATAATCTTAGTTTGTCTATTAGTTTATTTATAGTAGGTAGTAGAGAGCTTAACTTTAGTGCCTATAATCTAATAGAACTTAGACTAGAAACTAGATACAAACTAAGGGCCTTAATTAGAAATAATAGTATCTAGAGTGTGTCTAAATTAGTACACCTACTAAATAAATAAGGTAGCTATACCTTAGGCGTCTATAGTTTTATAGCAAGGGATAGTAATAGCTTGCTTTAATAGGCGATTAATAATAACTATAATCTAATTGTAACCACGTTAATCCTAAGGAAAATCCTTAAAATTAATATACAAGTGTTGCATAGGTAGACTAGGGATAGGAAGGGGATAGAGCATGCTAGGGAGTTAGTGCTATCTTAGGTGCCCTCTCCTGCATAGGATATAGTTCTAAACGTAGCGTTTATAGGTAGTCTCTATACCTTTCTAGTAGTAATATTAGGCTAGAATCTAATAGGTTTTAGTGGCTAATAGGTAGGTAGTAGACACTTAATTATAAGCCTTACGAATTAGTCTAGTATATAGGACTAATCTAGCAGGCACGTAAAGTTAATCCTAGTAAAGAAGGAGTCTATTTTCTATCTAATAGTGCTTAGGCAACTCTAATCTTTCTATTAGGAATAAGGACCTATTTTCTTAGAGAAGAGTTTTAATAAGTTCTAGGGATCTAAGAGTTATAGGGTTCTAAACTACTATAATTAAAGTAAGGATTAGTAAGGAACGCTTAGCTAGGTAGTCTTGCGCTAAGTTAGAGTTAATTTAGGGGTATAACCTATCTAGGGTAATTATTACTTATAAATAATTATCCCTTTAAGTAGTCTTAAGGTTAATTATATCCTATTCCCTTCTACTTAGGATATCTACTTAGGCATTATAAGATCTAGGAGTATACTTAATTTAGAAGTTAAAGGGACTTATAACCTCTAGCTATCTAGCTTGCCTAGCACTAAGGACTTTAGTAGATATAAAGTACTCTAGTGCTCTATAGTCTATATATACTCTAATAAGGTGCTAAGTACTTATTAGGTTAGCACGCTATTTCTTAAAGGCGCAGATTATTGCAAACAATTCTTTATTATAGATTTCCTAGTTAAGTTTAGAACTAGTAAGGGTCTAACTAAAGAAGGATATAGGGTACTATTTCCTATTAGGATGCTCCTATAAGAGGATAGCTACAATAACTCTATTAGAGGCGTCTGTCTCTAGTTTTAGAGGGTACTTAGGATAGAAGTAAGCTAAGCTTAGGATTGCTAGTAGGGCATTCCTAAGCTAGTTAAAGGCTTGTTAGCATTCTAAAGTCTATACAAATAGGGTAGCAGGACTCTAGAGGGTAGTTAAGGGCTTAGCTGTCTTAGAGAAGTTTTCCACAAATTGCTAGTAGAATCTAGTAAATCCTAGGAAGGACTTTACTCTAGTTATTGTCTTAGGAGCGGACTAGTTTTAGAGTACTTTAACTTTGTTAGGGTCTACCTCTAAGCCTTTATTAGTTAGGATATAGCTAAGGTAACAGGTTTAGGTTATATAGAATTCGCTTTTCTTAATATTAGCCTGTAATCTAGCAGAACAAAGACGCTTAAGGACTTTTTTAATATAGTCCTTGTAAGTAGCAAGGTTTTTAGAGTAGATTAGGATATTATCTAGATAGGTAATATAGAAGTTGTCTAAATAATCTATTAGTATATTATTTATATAACGCTAATAGGTTGCTAGTCTATTACATAGCCTAAATAGTAGGACTTTGCATTTATAGGCACTATATCTAGTGTAGAAAGTAGTGTACTCCTCTAAGTTAGGGTCTATTTAGATCTTATTAAAGGCAGCATAAATATCTAGCTTAGTAAAGATTTTTGCTTTAGCTAGCTAGGATAATAGATTATCTATATAGGGTATTAGATACGCGTCCTTTCGCGTTAAGCTGTTAAGCTTATAGTAATCCACATAGATCCTAAGGCCTCTATTTAGCTTCTTAACACACAGGATAGGAGAGGCAAATAGGCTCTAACTAGTCTTAATAAAACCTTTCTATAGGTGCTCTTGTATATATTCCTTAGTAGCCTAGAGTTCCTTAGCATTTTAATAATAAAGGGGACTCTGAGTTAGTTTAGAAGGGGTTTCTCTAGGACTATCTTATAGTTATAAGGCTAGTAGATTAGAAGTTTGTTAGCCTTAGCCTTATTAAAGACGTCCTAATAGGAGTTATAGTTAGATAGGAGCTTCTAATCTAACAAGCTGTGTTTAAGAGTATCCTGTTTAGATAGGGTTTAGATCCTACGCTTAATCTTATACAGGCTAGTAGTAAAGAATTTATTAGAAGATTTTTTTATATTAAAATAGAAAGTATTAGTAGAAATAGTAGCAATTTAAAATTTTGCGGGTAGGGTAACAGTTAGTGATTAGACTAGGGTAGGTAGCGTAATAGGTTTAGTAGTAGCCCTATAAGCAGCTAGAATTTTAAGTATACCACGTATCCTATTAATTAAACTAGGACTATTTTAGTTCTAGTTCTCCTCTTAATCCTAAAGGGCGTCTCTTCGCAAGATGTTATAGGTAACTAGAGTAGACAGCACTTGCTAGTAGAGTCGTACTAGAATTGGAGGAGCGGGGTTATAGGTTAGAGGATATTTCTCTAGCTAGATTAGTTAAGATTTATCTATATTAATTAGGATTTAGAACTGTTTTAGCTAGTGTTATCTAATAATATAATCCTAAGAACCTAAGTCTACTATTACAAAGGGGCAGTTATAAACCTTTTAGCTACTAACTATTATATAAAGCTAAATATAGTGAGCAACTAGGGAGGTAATCTAATCCTAGAACCCTTTAATAGTAAGCTTATATAGTAGCTTTTAGATAGGTACCCTAAGCGTAGAAGAGATATTGTAAGTAATTTTTAAATTAAGAAATAAGTAACCTTAGGCCCTAGTATCTACTAAAGCGTTTAGGCAAACACTAGATCTATTAAGGCATAGGGTTGTACATGCAAGTAAATAGGAACTAACAAATAATTTAGTTAAGGAAAGGTTTAATAGGTTATATTAAGTTAGGCCTAGGAAGGAGGATCCTTCTAGGCGTTATTATTTCCTGTCTAATAGCTATCTAAATTAGTTAATTTAGCGGTTTCTTCTTCCTTAGAATTCTTAACACCCTATTCTATATCTATAGCCTAGATCCTAGGGGGTTTAGGGCAGTTACTAGAGAAGTGCCTAGGCTTTCTATAATTATAGCAAGTTACTAGGATTCCTATTATAGTAGCGCTAGGAGTGGCTAGCGTAGTAGATAGGGGTTAATTATTTTAAGGGGTAGTGCCTTATTATTGCAAATAGGGTATATAAGGTTTAGCTATTAAAGGTCTATTATAGGGTTTCTAATTAGCGTCTAAATAGGACTAGTTTCTAGAGTGTTAGAAGGGAGTTAGTCCTTTTCTAGATAATAGGGTAGTCTAGGTAGGAGTAGATAAGGTAGGGTATAGGCGGCGTTCTATATTAAAAGTAGTAAGATAATCTACTATAGTCTTGAAATTATTATACTAATTCTATTAGAAAGCAAGGTTTAGTATCCTTAGGGAAGGTGTAATCTTTATCTAGAGGTAGTAATACTACTCTAATTAGGGTACTTCTCCTCTAATAGCAAGACTCTAGAATTATAACTTAAAGGCAGGGAACGTCTCTATATTAGTTATATATAGGCAGTTAAATATAGTCTAACTCTTAGCTATCTTATTTCTAGTAATAAAGTAGGTTTAAAGGAGGGTAATTATTTCCTTAGCTTTTTAGAACTAAAGGCTTAGGGAATTAGATAGGTAACATAGCTCTAAGTATTCTCTTGCTAGTCCTAAGTAGTGTCCCTAGACTAACGCTATCTAAGCTCTAGAAGAGGGGTAGTAATTAGTGTTAATCTCTAGCCTATCCTAAATAGATGCTTGCTATTATCTAAAAGTAGGATTAGTACTATTACTAAGTGTAGAGATATTTAGCATCTTTTTAGATTATCTCTTAGCTTTTATAGCATATACTATAGGGTTTAATATAGAAGCTAAAGACTAGCTAGGTTAGGTAGTACCCTATATCTCCTTATAGAGGGAGGTGTTATATAACTAATTAGTAAGTTACTTAACTTGTTCCTCTAACCTCTCCTTTTTAGATAGGGTTAATATATATTTATCTTTAAGGGAGGTGTTGCTTTAAGATTTCCTAGGAGCATAAGGTACCTTAAGAGATAGATAGGAAGCAGGTCCTTTAAGGAGGGCGTTGTTAATTAAGTCCTCCTTATCTAATTTCTTTCTATTAGTAAATAGGCTTTTAAAAGTAGCTAAACTAGATACCCTTCCTTTACCTTTATCTAATATTTTGTAGTTAATAAGAATAATAAATCTTTTCTTTTCTTTTAGGGGGTTTAGTTATAGGAGGATATTAGCTTTGCCTCTAATTCCTCTAGGCTTTTAGTAGTCTCTAGGTCTCTACCTTAACGCAATCTAACGCAATTTTTCTAAAGGTAATCTAGCACCACCTATAGGTCTAGAAGTCTAAGCCTATAGGCTTTAGTTGTTAGAAGTTCTAATAGCTGTTCTAACTATAGAGTTGCAGGGTTAGGTAGCTACTAGAACTAAATTAGTAGCTTAAAATAACAATAAGTACAATATTCTTAAATGCTGTTACTAGCTAGGATAATATTCTTCTTATAATATAACAACTTAAGTAGGTAGAGTATCTAAAAGGTATCCTATATAACTTAAAGGCATATAGGAGTGCGCGTCTATACAGAAAAGGATAAGATTCCTACACCTATAGGTCTTATACAAAAGGACAAGAAGAACATGCCTATCCTAACTATAGGCGAGCTGTTCTCTATATATATTAGTGAGTCGGGCCTTTATTAGACTAGAATCGGCATAGAACAATAGGCAGGCAATTCTGCCTTATTGTTACAAAAGGTAGAGCAAGTGTTTAAGCTCTAGGAGTAAAAGAACCTTAAAGAATAGGAGCTATAATACTAAAAAAGCAAGGTAATTAAGCTTTATAAGTAATAGAAGCTTACTAAAGCTTAACTTATAGAGGAGTGTTACCTAAATTAAGTAATTACTAAGAAGAAGTAGGAGAAGAAAGCTACCTAAAAAGCTACTATATATAATAAGTAGAAAACTACTAAGTAACTAGAAAAGTAACTCTAAAATAATATTAAAATATTCTAAATAGGTAAGAGGTAAATCCTTAAGCCTCCTACTATTATACTAGCTAAGGTAGTTAATAAGGAGCTAGTAGAAGAGGATATAGTAGTAGAGGCAACTTTATAGCGTAGGCGCCTAATTAGACTCCCTAAAAAGCTGCTTATATAATCTAAAATATTTAATCTACTCTAATAGATCTAATAATTGCGACTCTAAGAAATCTCGTGATAATAGCTATTGTGGGTGGCGCAATATCCTCATTTAGTGGGTGGTGGATTTTGGTGTTGGTGGGCGCTCGGTGGGGGTGGGCGCTCGGTGGTGGATCACGTTATAGTGCAGCAGCACTGACCATAGTAAGCGATGCAGAGAGCGCTGATGCGGGTATTCCAGGTATTAGCACATCTCGTAAACCACCTCAGGAGACATTCGAATACAAAGGCACGCAATACATATCTGCGAAGAAGACATTTGGCCAGGCCCTGCAGGAGTCTCCATGGGAGCGCCGTGCCTGGTGTCTGCAAGAGAAAGTCTTCTCCAATCGTCTCCTGGTGCTCACCGAAACACAAGCCTTTTACCACTGTGCGGCCGCAACTTGGTTCGAGGACACACAGTTGGAGTCAAGACCGAATATCGCAGGGCCAGTTCATGTCAGGGAGAAACCAAGTCTTTCGCGAAAAGAGGCGGAGATGCTCAGACCGTCGCTCCAAACCGCATATGAATCCCATCGAGATTACTTTGGTAGGAATTTCTGGCGATTGATTGAAAACTATAGCCGGAGACTACTCTCCTTTGAAGCTGACGTCATTCGTGCCTTCAGCGGCATTTTACGTTCACTCGAGCCGCAACATGGCATTGCAGTGTGGGGAATCCCACAGCGTGAGTTTGGACGAGGGATTTCATTCGAATATTCAGCGTATCGCTCGGACATGCGACGAGAGGGGTTTCCTAGTTGGAGTTGGACAGGGTGGCTTACGAGCCCGGATACACAGTTGAGGTTTATCAATTTTAAGAGGAAAGACAGCGATATGATGGTCTCCGGAGGCCAATACCGTATTGAAAGGAACCCAGGTCTACATTCTGAATCGTCTTTCTTTGACGTGGATTGGCATTACTATTCACTCGGCGATACCACAGGCGAACCAAGACTGGTTGCCATTCAAGAAACATTTCCAGAGCCACTTGACCGCCTGGTGGAGAGCAAATCGGAAAATACGGTAGACATCACTTCAACGGCGGCCTCAAGGCCGATAAACCCGGAGCGAATATCACATTGGGGCATCCCAGGCCATCCTGGAGAGGACGATTACATCCAAACGACGGACCCTCTACCACTACAGCACGAGCAGGGCATGCCTCCGATCAATCATATCCTCCAATTCTACACCAGCATGACTCCGGTAATCGTTGGCCCACATGTCTCCACAAGATGGCAAGGGCTTTCAAAACGCAGTCTACGCGTGCCAGGCTCAAATGAAACATTGCAGTTCTCAGTCAAACTCGATACGGCGTACGATAGCCAAGGACGGGATACATGGCTCGTATATGTATCTAGATGGTGTACGGCAGATTTTATGTCCATCGAAGGCAAAAGAAGAAGGCACAGAAGAGAACGTCTCAACCTGCTTCTAGTAGAAAGTGTACGGGGTTGGCAATACGTAAAAAGGAGAGTACAGCTGTTGGAATGTGTATGGATTGATTGGTGGCAGGAGGCCAATCCGCAATGGCAATTGTTATGTCTTGCTTAACATGACAGTGCGATTTTAAATCTATAGTATGCAGGCTGAAGCCTCAGGGTATAGGTCTGGACCGTCTCGATGAATTTCCTTCAAGAGAGCTTTCAATCGAAACGAAATTTACGTACGGAGTAGCATCATCCGCAATTAGATCAATTTTCCTCAGAGCTTTGGTATTCATTGCACTAAGTCGATCGGTACTCTCCTATGTCAACTTGTGTGACTCACCAAGGATCCTAGTTCTCGCCCTCAGCAACGACCCACATATCTTTTAGCCACATTTTCGTACCCACTGTTTGTCTTAATAGTAGCAAGCGAGGAACAAGCCTTGAGTGTCAAAACATGGTTTGCACTACAAGCTTTTACATCCAACTCTAGAGCAGTACAGAATATCTTTGATTCCAAAATAACTTAGTTGCACGAAGAGTCTCAAATGTCGAATTCAGGGAAGGAGATGCATCAAAAATAAGGGAGATTGGTTACAGTTATTTGATGTACACTCAGGAATCAGAATTGGGCTGTTGGTCAATGGAGGAGCTACACAAGCTAGGTGAAATTCTGCGTCAAAAATATGCGATATACATAATAGTCATTAATCGAGTCCTCGGAAAGACCTGAACGACTTCAACGTCCTCTTAGGTACCAGTCCATTCTTCACTATCTGGTCCATATACTTCAAGAACCTCGTCTTTGCATGTTTCCAGAGACCGTATAAATATCTGAAACCCCCTCCATGGCAGAGAAAGTTTGTTTAGCTTCCACTCGGTCCCTAGTCTCTATATTTTCTAATTATGCCCTAGCTCAACCCTCTCATGTCCTCTTGTCAACCTGCTTTCTAAAGGGATGGGATTTGCGTATATAGTTCAGCGGGCGTGTTCAGGTCCAATAGCTTGTCGGCTTGAAGCCTTGAGCCGTCAATTTATAGGAGTGTGTTGGGATAGTGCGGTACGCCTCTGTGTGTTGGAAGAATATAGGGAAGTCCGCGAAGTGCGCGTTGGTCGTTAGATAAGCTCGATGTGTTTGAAACATTGATAAGAGGGGAGTGCTATGGTACACTAGTTGTATACTAAGCCATGGTTACAGGCTTTCTAGAATACCTTTTTGATGGGTATAGAAGCTGGTATACAATATATCCATCAATACAAGTGGACTTGGGGTAGAACGTCCTAGCGGAGTGGCGACAGAGCTGCTCAGCAATGAAACGAATAATTGGAGTATATTCTTCATCGAGGGTGCATGAGGAAGTTCAGAGCGTCTCACGCTCAACGCATGGTTGCATTCGATTATTGTCTTTTTTTTTCGCCCAATTCGGTTGTTGTTTCTTCTTTCCGCTTACTGGATCTGGCTGTAAATTGTACTTAATTGATGTCAGATGCTACCCTTGCAACATTACCTGTCAACCTACTCAGTTTGGTTTTGGTTTAGTAAAACCCAGCTTGGAAACCCAGGGCACTACCTATACAGTCTGAGATGTCTTTTTGCATTAGCACTTGTCGACTTCCTTTTCTAGCTTGTGCTGCTTTCAGACAACGCTGTAGAGATATTGGCGGTATATACTTAATTAAAGTTACTATTCAGTAAGGGAGGGGATCAGAGAGGTTTATATGCTCGGATTCATGGTGTTTGTTTGCTTACAATGGCGTGACAAGACAATATGATACATGAGCAAGTGACACTAGTCAGGTGTGAAGATATGCTCACGTGTACGACTAGCTGATCAAGACTTTACAGAGCGGCCTCTCCAATGGTGGCTAACATGTATCAGACATACTATTTGCCAACCTGCTCACAATATCGAACGTGAAGTTGTCTCAAATACCTCGTTACAGTACCTATCAGCCTCGACATTCTGCGATCTTGGAATCCACTTGTACTCCACTTCACCATTCTGATCCAATATCCTTTGCTCCAGGTCCACCGCTTCCTCCAACAGATCCTGATTAGCCACTTCCCTCCCAGAAGCGTTGATCCAGCCGTTTTGGACCCACTTATGGATCCAAGTCGTCATATACCCGATTGCATACTTTGAGTCGGACTCGATGGTTATATCAAGCGTGGTCTGGATACCTAGTTCCTCGTCTCTCAGCAATGCATTTCTTAGCGCCAAAACGATAGCAGTAAGTTCTGCGCGCTGGTTTGTTGGCTTTGGATAGTTGGGTAGTCGTCTTCCCCAGAGGAGATAGGGCTGTCTGTTGCGTCGAAGGAGCACACAAGCTGCAGCACCGTCGGCGTTGTCGTAGCCGTTGCTTCTACGGGCACCGTCGACTTGGAAGACCATGATATAAGGCGTACTGGTGTATTGCTCTGAGCTGTTCAAGACGGGTCAATTGTAGCTGCGTGGGCAGGACTGAATAGTGTTAAAGCGGCTGAGTTCACGCTGGACACTAGTACCAGTATCGTTACATACCGGAGTTCTTTGATTTTGATCGTACGGGAACCGGCTGTGAGCTTCAGATGTCGTTGCCTTGGTGTCGTAACTCGTAGTGACACTGAGTCCCTCGGAAAGCCGGAGTGGAGATTATATAGTCTGGACTCTGGCGTCCTAACAGTCACCCGCTCGCTCAGGTGCGCAATTGGAAAGTAAGAAGCGGCATTGGTAAGACAAGCTCTTTCTTAAATTGTGTTTGCACTTATTTGCTTTCCTCAGACCTAAAGTACAAGGAGTTGCTAGCCGGTGGTTTGATAAGCATTAACAGGGTTCCATACTTTTGGTACCTGGGGCCTCCGATATATCGCCGACTAAGGTAGATACCGGTACTAGGTATTATGAGGGGGTTAGCCTAACGCGCAATCACATGACTAGACGGCTGGTCACAGGATACCGGTATTGGTTTGCAGTCCCTAGCTTGCAAACTGCGGGGCAATATGTGAACACTGGAGGGTGACGTCTAAAAGAAGATACGGTGCAAGTTGCGAAGTTTGAATTTCTACAGGTCAAACACACAGCTAACGAGATTAATCCGCTCTCTCCCTAGGTAATTAGCCCAGATGTAGCCATGCGATACGGTGCAGGCATGCGTCTCTATCAGATGTGTATCACACGCAGGTAGGGCTTCTACTAATTCTTCACTCTGAACTAGATTATTATATGATTGCGAGAGTCAACAGTGTCAAACAATATAGTATCGTTCGAAGTTTACACCTGTCACAAGTCTATTCAATACCTCTTCGTAACGTTGGCATCTCTTCGTTGGAATTGAAAAGACTAGGCAAGTGCTTTTCCCTACCTGAGCTTTTTGGCACTTTACCGTATATACCGTACTTCATTTCTAGATTAAAATGCACTTTCTTCACAAGACTGCTAATAATTAGATTCAAGCAAGAGATTTTCTTGACGGGAAGCCTTCGGTATGGGCACTGGATATATGATTCGTGTAGCACTGTGTGTTCTGCATTTCATTGCAGACCAGTACCTTCTAGCTCATCTTTAGCACTGACTCGTCATTATTAAGTTGCTCTGAACACGTGCTGATGTTTGCATACCGGGATTTACACAATACAATATGGAGAAGGCATGTAATGCGATCCGCCAGAGTGATCCACAAGTGTTCAGGAAATAAGGCCAGATACCAGTCTGATGTACAACTTCAAACCCTGAAATACCAACCCTCAACACCAACTATCCGGTCCAGACCGGTGGACCCGGAATCTTATACTCCTACAATACATCAGTAAGACTCTCCAAACAATACCATTTCTCAACTCACCGTCCTCGTCGACACATTCGGCTGATAAATATCAATATTGATCCCCGGATCTAGCCCTACATCAGCAACAATCCCATGCATACACACCTCCGAACTCAATACATACCATCCATACTCCACACCCCCGGAATCCTAACCAGAAACTCCTCCCCAGGAAACCCATCTCCCTCCCCCTGAACATCCAAATGCGCACACTCGGGATAAAACTGCGGTCTATTCGCACTATGCAAACTCACAATCTCATGCCTAACCAAATACCTACCCCTCCTCAAACTCGACGGCACAGTCTCGCTCCACAAACTAGGACTGCCGTCCCACCGACTAAACGCCTTTTGGAACCACGTCCCCTTCTCCACAGTGCCGGCTAGCAAGCCTCGCTGCCCAATCTTGAACCACGAGGCCGAGGCAGAGTCGAAGGTGTGGCAGTCGTTGGCGGGGTTGTCGCAGTATGCGAGCCAGTAGATCATGGGGCCGACGGTGTGCACCCAGTATGCGTATGCGGCGGTGATGTTGGTGCCAGCGGTGATGGGGATGTAGGATCGTGCGGGGGTGCCGGGTGTGTTGCAGGAGAGGGATGTGTTGCTTGTTTCGAAGATGGGGTCGTTTGTGATCCATTTCCGTTGGACCATCCAGGGCGCGCTGTCTTGCATAGTTTGGTCGCCGTAGGGATCGTAGCTTGGTAAGCGGTTAGTTTGAAGGCGATGTATTTTGGTGGTGGTTGGGGACAGGGAGGTCTCGAGTACCCGGGATACCATGTATCGCCCACTGTGTAGTTCAAGGCTCCACCGTGCGCGGAGACTTTGTAGGTTGCGAGGAGCGCTGTGAAAGTGAGGATGGACCGCATATTCGGTAGATGGGGGATTGACGAGAACGCGACAATGGTCAGGAACGGATGCTCGGGGACTCAAGTATCGTAGAAGTTGCTGATTAGATTCTGTTCTGGGGGAACCTGCTCCAACGCTTACTGCAACTAAGATAAAAAAATCACCTGTTAAAATTGCAACTCCATCACAAGTCACACGTCACATGCTCTTGTGATTGCAAGTTAGAATTATATGAAGACGCTTGTCCGGAAAATGCTTGTAATGCTGAATATGGGTGTTAAACGTGGGGAAACAGGGGTGATACTTTATATGGATAATGTGCGGAAGTGCTTGTTGTAAAGCTTAATTGCAAGATCGACAAACATTTAACCGGCCGAATATCTGATTGAAATGAGGAACTCACATGGCATCCAATGAATCAATGGTAGCAACTCTGAAATTTAGATCGCCGTCACATTTCTCGAATGACAAAGGGCCCCACTGTCTGAACAGATGCCGAGAAGCTCCTCGTAAGGCTATATGTAAGATCGCGGACCCCTCAAGCTGTCTTTCTCTATAGGCCCCTCATATTCCAAACATGCTGTTGCCTTCCCTCTCTCCGATTCTCTTACTCGCGAGTAGCACCTTCGCTGCACAATTAACACAAGTGTCCAACTATGGCGGCAACGCGAGATCAAAACCAGGAATGTATGAGCAAGCTGCAACTTGATCTTGATCTTCTAATAACACACTTCCCTTACTGACTTTGTCCTCAGGTGGGTATACGTGCCCGACCAGGTCAAAAGCGACGCTCTAGTCGTGGCAATTCATTCCTGCCAGTCCAGCGCTCAAAAGTACTTCCAGAACAGCAAGATACCATGGAAGCAAGGCTCAGATGCCAAAGGCTACATCACCGTCTGGCCCAGCTCCACGACAGAGTGCTGGGACGTTTCCAGTAAATCCTCGCTATCCCATAACGGCGGTGGAGACTCCAATGCTATTGCAAACATGATCCTGTATGCCATCGACAAATATAAAATCGACCCGAAAAAGGTCTTCGTTACCGGAGGATCTTCTGGCGCGATGATGTCGAATGTACTGGCAGCCACTTATCCCGAGTTGATCACTGCGGTGTCGCTGTACTCTGGTGTTCCCGCTGGTTGCTTTGTGTCCTCTTCGGGGGCTTCTGCAGCTTGGAACAATACCTGCTCCGGTGGACAAAGCATCTCAACAGCGCAGCACTGGGGTGATGTGGTACGGGGAATGTACCCAGGGTACAATGGTACACGCCCACGCATGCGTAAGTAGTATATCTTTTTCCCTTGCAAAGTAAAAGCTCACCGAGGCCCGCACATCGCAACAGAATTTTGGCACGGCTCAACAGATTCGACGCTTTCGCCCAAGAATTACGAAGAGACGTTGAAGCAATGGACCAATGTGTTTGGCGTCAGTACGACACCGACTAGCTCCAAGAAGGATACTCCGGAGAAGAATTATCGTACCGATGATTTTGGTCCGAATGTTCAAGGCATCTGGGCCCAGGGTGTTGGACATTCCGTGCCATCGCATTTATCGGTTTCGGAGGCCTGGTTCGGATTTTAAATGTCGTGGAAATATGAATGTTGGGCACTGTGATGTCGAAACCCGACGACTCCTTGTTAAATCAACTTGCTGTATCTAGGCAGGCTAGATGGAAATCATTCCGTGTAAAGTCTTACATACTCTGCCAGTAAGACTGAGTGTCTGACTTGCCGAATATGGCGGGGCGTGTGAGAGCATGACCTCACTGCCGATACATTGTGCTTATAACCATGGCTTTCGTTTCCACGAGCGGGATTTGCAGTTTCGAGTCGAGTGGAATAGCCAGGTTTGGGCTCTTTTTTCTTTCGCTGTGGTGATCAAGGACCGCCTTCAAGTCGAGTGCCCACGTGATGCCCGCAGTTGTTTCTGATCTCCGCATATAGTCTCAGATGGCCTGTTCCTTGAGTAGTTTTCGAAGTATCCTTCCTGGGATTCTGAAACTCCATGGAGCCCTAGATCATTGAAACCGGACACCTCCAGTTTTTCACGTTGCCCACCATAAACCCTATCCTGTCCATGATCCCACCTCAAATCCAAACGCTCACCCATCATACGGCCCAGTGCCCCTAACAATGTAAACCTGCCCCAACAACACCGTACACCCGACCACCATCGCCACCCCCACAATCGGCGCATTCACCCTCGCAAACTCTCCGCCTGGCACTCGTATGCCCCTGCGCGCGAGAATATCGCGCCATAGCATGCCAGCCAGCGAGGCGCTGAAGGCAAGGCTAAAGGCACCGTAGTTGACGCCTAGCGCCATGCTATAGACTGTGGCCCAGAAGGTGCGGTCGGAGATGGGGGGCCGTGAGGAGGACGGGAGGGCGTGCAGGGCTTGCCAGGTTTGGATGACGCGGGAGAGGAGGATCGTGGTGCCGATGTTTGTGCCTGCGAACTTTTTGGGAGATGGGGTGTTAGATGGGTGGTGGCGTTGAGTTGCTTTCGCGGGGAGATAGAGGGGGAGGGGGCAAGGGAGGGCAAAATGTGACGGGGTGTGTTATGTTATGGTGCACTTACGTTGGAGAGGATCACACCAAGAAAGCCCATGCCGCCAATCGCACCAACTGTGCCCGTCTTTTCGACCCAGTGGTCCCAGCCATGGGCAAAGACGGGTACCCAGCCTTTTGTCACGAGGGCTTGGACGAGGATGAACATGCAGAATGCAAAGGGAACGAGGGCAAAGGGGAGATTGTGAAGAACCGTCATGGTAGTCGGGAACGTGATTCGAGCCCAAGTATAGGCGTGGGAGGTCAAGGATGTGAGGGTTGTTTGATAGGTAGCAGGGTTTGCAGATATGTTTCCTTCCTCCATAACTGTCTTCTCTTGCTTTGGGCTCTCTTGAGAATTATCGCTGGATGATGCTTTGACCCTCTCAATCATCTCCAAGGGCCTAACAGGACCAGAGGGGTCCAGCTGTGCAACTGATTTCCTGCATTGGGATCTTTCAGCCTGTGCGGCTTCGGCGCGGTAACGCCCTTCGTTGGCGATTTTGCGTGTCTCTTCTCGGGATATCCAGCCCATTCCGAGGTCAAAAAGGAACATGACGACTGCTGCAGGTACGGTGACCCAGTATACGGGTCGTTCGTGTGTTCCGCCTGAAGTAGCATTGAGGGCCAAGACAGTGACCAAGGTGGCTGCCATGAGCGCTGCACCGAAGATTGCACCTTTTCGATCCAGAAAGGGATTCAGAATTTCTTCTAGCGAGAGTTGCTTCTCCTCTTCGTCGTTGCCTAAGTCGTTGCCGACTATCTCCAGTTCGGCCTTGGAAAAGGGAATATTGGGGTTGACGGGTTTTCTGCTTTTGAGTTCTTCGGGGAGGTCTTCCATTTCTATGGATGTGGGAATGAGCGATTCATCGCGAAACAGTATGTAGAGTAAGAAGGGGTAGAGTACGATGCCAGTAGCGATGACGGGAACAATCACATTAGCGGTGTACTTGATGAATGTGATTCCGAATGCACCAGCGAGAACGAGATTGGTCGGATTCGATGAGACCAAGATAGCAGATGCAATGTTTGCCATGGCGAACTGGGTATAAATCCAGGCTCTTGGGTGACGGATGTTGCTTGACACACGTGTCATGTACGAGAGGAACGCAGTCCCAGACAGGATAATCGGATCATTTCCAATAAGAGCAGTGAGGCCGAAGAAGAAGGCATACAGGTAGAAGTAAAGTCTGCGACCGACTTTGCCTCCTTTTTGCAGCACTTTGAATGCAAGCCAGCGAATGAGACCAGATGCGTCCACGGAGATGGCAATGTAGGCCAACGAGAGGAAGAAAAGCATGATGTCGTAGGGGACGATGCCTTGATCGCCTATGATGCCACCCCTTACCTCTTTGGCGCCAATAGCAGTGGTTGCGAGGAGAAATAGATCAGCAATGAGAGGCGCGGTGATGAAGTTCATCGGGAAGTCCAGACGCACGAATGTTCTAGCTTTCCCACCAGACATATGGTTTGGATGGCGCGGTGATGCAACGATCCGCATGGCGCTCAGGGTGTTGAGGAGGCCGTTCCACAGTACTCTCGGGATATAGAAGGGTATGTGAAAAGGGAATAGAACGTTGATGTCTGAAAGGAAGACTTTAGGTTTTGTAACATAGATCCATGAATTGGAACTTACTCGTCAAGACGAAAACGATTAGAGTAATTATCGACTTCCATTCCTTGATTTTGCTCGTGTCGAGGTCCACCTCAGTGTTGCTGGCGCGTGAAGACAACATCTCCGGTATTGCCACTACCCCGACTACACAACTTGTAGAGTCAATGTAGATTGACACTCATACTCAACACATCCCGGAACTCTCAAAGACGTAATATTCGAAGCGAATTGGAACGTCGACTCGTTCAAGGGAGGGTGAAGTCTTGCACGTGGCGCGCTTGGGCCAAGTACCTACCTAGGTACCGTTGCAACTGCCAGTCAAGCGTTCCTGATGAGCAACAGCGGGTGTGCAAGGAGAGACCACCAGAAAACATGCAACCACACCAGGCAACAAAGGTTCTTGTATACCCTCCCACAAAGTCCGTCCAGGAAGTGACATTGTCAGAGAAACTAAGGAGCTTGGCGATCTACTCTAGCCAGCTTGGACATAGCGATCCTACCAAAAAAACAGACCTCCAGCGCCACTCACAGGCTGGGCGTATTCCCGGGATTACTTGGACAAAATTCAGCCTCCTATCTTCACGCTAGGTATAGGACCGAACGACTACTCTACCGAGTAGCTCAATTGAATCGTAGCTGATGACCGCTACCGGTACTGGCCGTGAGTGCTGTAAGGTACAAGACATTCACCATCTTTTGCTCCTACATTTTATTTTTCCTCCCTATCACAATACCATGAAACAACCCTCTCAAGTTTTCCCCCTCCAACAGCCATAGACACTACCATGTACATACTTACACATGTCTTCTGCGACGCCAAGCACCGCCAACCCGACGTCATTCCCCCCTCTACCGGTAGCGTGCTGGCACAGGTTCAAAGTACATGCCATATTCTGCAAACCCGCACCCACATCCATCCCTTGGCCCACGCTCTGCGCCAACCCCAGCCCCCGTGCGCGCAGCGGCTCTTTCTAATGGCCAGTTCAATACTACGTCCCAAGACTACCCAAGATGTCATCCAAGATGTCTTTTTTCTGGGAACGAAACTCGCACGCCTATGCCGTTAGTAGAAGGGTTGGAATGGGGTATGCAATGCTGTATCTGCACGTGGGTGTGCGTGTGCATCATCGAGGCTAACTAACAACTAAATACTTGATTCCTTGATCTCGTGTCCTAGAGATTTTCCATGGCTCGGGGATGCACTACCATCCATGTATCCATCGTGTTCATGTGCAGTGTTCTGATATCTGATCACTAATTTCTGATTTCTGGGGGTATGTGATGATTGTCTCTCACAGACTCACGGACGATTCAGGAATAGTATAACCTTTTTGTGAGTGGTAGGACAGCGTGAGCGTGTATGTTTGTGGATTCCATGTAGATGTGCAGATGAGAATAATTCACCATCGTGGATATTGCAGAGATTGTCAGACCTGATCAAGGATCACAAAGTCTCGCACTCACCACACCCGAGATGAACAAGATTCACAACAGAGTGCGCTTTTTTAAAACTCTCTGTATTTGATTGGAATGCTACTCGTTTGAATTTTTACGCATTGGTATCATAACTACACCCCTCAAAACCCCCCAAAAAGGAGTCTAAACGTCAACAATGTTCGCGTTATACGCCCCGCACTCCCCCCCCCCCCTACTAGGAAACCCGAAATATACACATTGGCCTAGACTATGCAGAGTGATGACAGCCCGCAAACCCTTCATCGTAAATCAGGGCATCTTCGTACTCTCGCGACACCGGTCCTCGTCGGAAAAGTCCCACTCATCACTATCGTAGTCCTCGAGGATATCACTGAGATCATACCCGTAGTCTTCTGTCACACTATTCACCCTCTCTTCGCGTGCTTCGTACTGCAGTATCATGCTCATCTCGCTCAGCGTTAGGTATGATCGACGCTCTTGAACTAGGGCAGACTACGCGCCTCCATTGAGCAGATACTCAATCGCACCCTGGACGTTGCCTCCACTCCGTCTCAGCGCAGAGACGTTCCTATCGAATTCGTAAAAACCCATTTCATTAAGCTGGCGGAGCTGGGTTTCGTATACTTCTTCGGGCGGACGGTTATCTGCTGGCGCGGCAGGCGCCCCGAAGCCGCCTGCGCCGAACCCTCCAGGGCCGAAGAGCGCGGCGAATGGGTTATTGGCGTTTGCGCCAGCACCACCACCAGCTGCTGGAGCTGCGCCTGGAGCTTGACCAAAAGCTCCAAAAGGCGAGGCACCGCCTGCACCGCCTGCACCACCCGCACCCATCATTTGCATCATTGATTGCATGGCTTCGGGATTCTGCATCAGCCTTTGCGCAGCTTCAGCGATGGGGTTCGCCTGGCCACCTTGTGCGCCACCAAAAAGATTTGGAAATGGGTTTGGAGGCGCTGAGCCATCTTGTGGGGCTGGTGTTGAGCCAGCTTGGGGGTTTGTGCCAGCCTGTGTGTTCGCGCCGCCTGTGAAGAGACTAGCGAAAGGATTGCCAGCATTACCGCCACCGAGTGCTGCAAAAGGGTCTGCAGGTGCAGTAGTATTCGTTTGACCTGGTGTCGCTGTTGGGCCACTGCCGGCCGCGGGTGTGTTGTCTGTTGCGCCAGGCGCAGGGAAGCTTGATCCTCCACTGTTGCCGCCACCGCCCATGGACCGTTGCATCTGTAACTGCATGCGCATGACCTCGGGACTAAACATCATGCGGCGCATCTCGGGGTTTCGTAGCATCTGTTGGAGCATAGGATTATCACGGATCTACGACATGTTAGCCAGGCTCAGGACATCTCATCGTCTGGGTCATGGCACGTACCATTGGGGACTGCATCATCATGTCGACTACAGCAGGATTGTTCATGGCCTCGGTCATCTGGCTCAGGAACATGGGGTTTTCCATCATCTCCAGCATGGCCTCTGGATTCGGCGGTGGGCCCATCTATCGTGTGTTAGTCGCATGATGGTGGGGCATGCGAATGGCTATGATCACTCACTCCTCCGTCTGGGCCAAACGTGTCCATGCCAGGCAGGCCGTGGAAGCCAGCGTATCGCGCTCCCGTCAGGCCCGCGAGGGGGTTGTTGCCTGTGCCAGCCGCGATGTTGGTAGGCACTTGCCCTGCCGGAGAGCTGCCTGCGCCTGCCGTGCTCGCCGTACCTTGGTTGGCGGGGTTCTGTCTGACATTGCTGGCGGCGCCCTTGACCAGGTGCACTGTGTGTCCGTCCTTGATCTTGACGCTAGCGAGTGTGTCGTGGTCTTTGAGTACACGGCCAGAGTAGATGAGGCGCTGTCGCTCCGCGGGGATGTCTGCATACTCTGAGGCCGACAGCTTGCTCTTCAGGTCGGCCACTGTCGTCGTCGCAGCAAGTGTGAGCACGTGCTTCTGGTCGTTGGCCGCCTTGACATTGAAGGTGACTTGCGACTCCTCGGTGCCTGTGGTGGCGGCGTCGTCGGCCATGATGTTACGGAGCTTCAGTATATCACGAGTGCCGAGCAGCGAATGATACCTAAGGCGGAGAGAAGAGGGATGGCGCGGGGTACAAGTGCTACACGATATTGGGAGAGGGTGAGGGGTTTATAGGACTGTGGAATAATGCAGTCTTCCGCGGGGAGGTCGGCGGCGGGTTGTGGGTGTTAGAGTAAGGGAAATGCTGTCGAGAGCGAGAGTCTGGTGTGTGTTCGAGTAGAGAGTTCTACAGTAGACTGTCTGACTCTCCCCGGTAATCAGTCAATGTCTGTCCCGTAGTATTGGATGGAAGGCGGCAGAAGGCGCGTGGCGGCGCACCAAACGTCGTCACTTCCCTTGCCGATGGCGTTAGCGTGTGGCCGTGCATGTGTGGCTCAACGCCCTCCACGGGAATCTCTTACCGGTATGTAGAGTACTCTACTCTCTCCTGGATTAGCTAAGCGCTACAACAAGCGACGGAGACGAGTGGGGACTAAACGGAGTCGCGAGCCGGGGGGAAGCTCTCCCAAGGCCGAGGCATCTTTGATAGTTTGAGGGGACTCTTCCTCAGCACTTCTCGCTGTTGCGCCATGTTGCTCCTCCTCCTCCGAGCACCGTCAAATCTAAGTCGTGTTCTAGAGCCTGATTAAGATTTTGTTGATCTACTTTGCTACCCATAGGTACCGGTATATAGGTACCAGTAGTGCATTCGCTTGCAACTCGAGAAGCTGCTCCACCATCTCGACCACACTCCCAACATGAAGGGCATACAGATCAAGGAATATGTCAAGGTACTACATCCAGGCTGTATTGTCGACAGCACCAAGACTCATCCATCACACTTAGGGACCTGAAGACTTGAAGGTCATCGATCTCCCTACTCCCACCCCCAAACCCAACGAATACCTCATCGCCATCCATGCCTCGGCTACAAACTTCTTCGATCTCCTGCAGATCCGAGGAAAGTATCAGCACCAACCCGCCTTTCCATGGATTGCTGGCTCCGAGTTCTCTGGTGTAGTGTTACAGGCCCCAACATCTCTGCCCGGAGGACAAACGCCCAAATACAAGAAAGGCGACAAGGTGTTTGGCGCTAGTCAGGGAGGTTATGCGACACACATTGTGTGCACCGAAGAGAAACTGAAGCCTGTTCCTGAGGGGTGGAGTTTCGAGGACGCAGCAGGCGTCTTCGTGACAGCGCCGACAAGTTATGCCGGGTTGGTGACGCGAGCCAACATCAAAAAGGGTAACCTTCTTTTTCGCCGCGCCAGTGCGAACATGTGCTGACCACCATGCTAGGTGACTGGGTACTTGTCCACGCAGCAGCTGGTGGTGTCGGTCTTGCAGCTGTACAGATAGCCAAAGCCTTTGGTGCGACTGTTGTGGCGACAGCAGGTACAAAGCACAAGCAAGACGTGGCCAGAGCCTTTGGCGCAGACTACAGCGTCGACTATCGTCAGGCCGATTGGCCCGAGCAAGTCAAGAAGTTGACTCCCAAGGGCCGAGGTGTAGACATCGTCTACGACCCTGTGGGCCTCATCGCGCAATCGATGAAGTGCACCGCATGGAACGGACGTCTCCTAGTCATTGGATTTGCAGCAGGCGATATCGAGAAGATGGCTACGAACCGTATCTTGTTGAAGAATGTCAGCGTGGTTGGCCTGCATTGGGGCGCGTACGCCATCAACGAGCCGGAGAAGCAGGATGAAGTATGGAATGGCATATTCGATTTGGTCAAGCAGGGCAAATACAGGGGCACCGCCTACACGGACACCGAATATGTTGGCTTGGAGAGCGTGCCTGCTGCCTTGAAGGCTTTGGGTGGAAGAGATAGCTGGGGCAAAGTGGTTGTCAAGGTGCCACAGGAGGGGCAGAGCAAGATATAAACACGTTAGATGAGTGAATGAGATGTCTAATCGAAGTACTCCATCTGTTAATGCATGCTGCTACTCTTAACGATGTCAGATGTGTCTTTAGATATCCAGTCTTGTGCATATACTACTACTTATCACCCCACAAAAGCAACGATGACAATCCAGGTAAACTTAAATGGAGCTCTTCAAGAATGCTGCCAGCCTAGAGTATGTGCAGGCAGTCAACTCTATTGTAAAGCCTTCACGGGTACTGTGTACAATACCAGCTGGTGATAGCCAAGGAGTGGGCCGTGCTCGTGAAAGAAGTCGCGCTAAAGCGGTCGGCGGATCCAAACTCCGACTTTCTTTCTTCGAGGCAGTCGCCGCCCAGCACAACCAGACAAGGAGCTCGACAACTCCCCATCCCGCCCTTGAACCTCTCCTTCACCCCTTCCCCCCCCCCTCTTCACGGCCCTTACCCGTCTTATCACGCGCCTGCCCCTCCTCTCGCCGCTGGCGCCTGTTGCGTTCTTGCTTGCCACTCACGCGCAAGCATGGCGGACCTCTACCGCGAGCACGACGCCTATGGCATTGAAGACGACAGCGACTACAGCGAGGATGACGACGCAGTTGCGCCAGAGGACTGCTGGGCGGTTATCAGCTCCTTCTTCGACACCAAGGGCCTGGTGTCCCAGCAGCTTGACTCGTACGACGAATTCACGCGCAACACGATACAAGACATTGTCAAGGAGAACGGCAGCGTGATACTGGAGCAGAACACGCCTTATGACCCGAATGAGGACGAGAACCCCATCATCAAGCGCCGTTACGAAATTACATTTGGCCGTGTCTATCTGGCGCGGCCGACGCACACCGAAGGCGATGGCACCACGGTGCAGCTGTACCCGCATGAGGCGCGTCTGCGGAATCTCACCTACTCTGGCGCCATGTTGGCAGACATTTCAAACCGCATCATGGTTGCGCGCGAGCACAACGCCATGGTCGAGGGCGAGGACGATGACCTGGACGGCGGCTACACGGCAGGCGGCGCGACACAGATCCGGTGGGAGCGCGAAGACATGCCCGGTGAAGAAGAGGCTGCTGCCCGCGTCTTCATAGGCAAACTACCTGTCATGTTGCGGTCTGAACTTTGTCATCTGCGGAATCAGTCGGACGCAGATCTCTTTGCTCTTAACGAATGCCCCTATGATCAGGGCGGCTACTTCGTTATCAACGGCAGTGAAAAGGTCCTGATCGCGCAGGAGCGCAGTGCCGCCAACATCGTTCAGGTCTTCCGAAAGAAGCAAGGCCCCATTCCGTGGATTGCTGAGATCCGTAGTGCCGTCGAAAAGGGCACCCGTTTAATCTCCTCGTTCACCATTAAATGGGCCGAAAATTCGCTCGCGGGTGGAAAGCGTGTACCTGGACCTTTCGCCTACGCCACCCTCCCGTATGTCAAGAGCGAGATTCCCATGGCTATCGTCTTCCGAGCGCTCGGCATAGTGTCCGATGAAGAAATTCTATCGCACATCGTATATGACCGTACTGACACACAGATGCTGGAGCTATTGAAGCCCAGTATCGAAGAGGGTTCAGTGGTGCAGGACAGGGAAAGTGCCCTGGACTTTATTGCCCGCCGCGGCGCCCAGCAAGCCACCAAGGACAGACGTCTCAAGTTTGCGAGGGACATTATGCAGCGCGAGTTCCTGCCTCACATTTCACAAAAGGAAGGCCAAGATACGAGGAAGGCGTACTTCTTTGGCTACATGATTCACCGCCTGTTGCAATGTGTGCTTGGTCGCCGTGACGAGGACGACCGTGATCATTTTGGAAAGAAGCGATTGGATCTCGCGGGACCATTGATTGCAAATCTCTTCCGTATCTTGTTCCTCAAGCTGACCAAGGATGTCTTCAAATACCTACAGCGGTGCGTTGAGAGCAACCAGGACTTCAATGTTCAGATGGCTGTCAAAGCCAGCATCATTACAAACGGACTGAAGTACTCGCTAGCCACAGGAAACTGGGGTGACCAGAAGAAGGCAGCTTCGGCGAAAGCTGGTGTATCACAGGTGCTGAACCGATACACGTATGCCTCTACCCTCTCTCATCTTCGTCGAACAAACACTCCGGTTGGTAGAGATGGCAAGTTGGCAAAGCCGCGTCAGCTGCACAACTCTCACTGGGGTCTTGTGTGTCCGGCTGAGACCCCTGAGGGCCAGGCTTGTGGTTTGGTCAAGAACTTGTCCCTGATGTGCTACGTCAGTGTCGGCAGCGACGCATCGCCTATCATCGACTTCATGACACAAAGAAACATGCAGCTTCTCGAAGAGTACGATCAAAACCAAAGTCCGGATGCTACCAAGATCTTTGTAAATGGTGTCTGGGTCGGCGTACATTCGAATCCTCATCAGCTTGTGTCGGTGGTGCAAGAACTCCGGAGGAACGGTACCCTGTCCTACGAAATGAGTCTGATTCGAGACATCCGTGACCGTGAATTCAAGATCTTTACGGATGCTGGTCGGGTCATGCGGCCGTTATTCGTTATTGAAAATGACATTCGAAAGCCAAATCGTCATCAGCTTATCTTTACCAAGGAGATTAGTAGAAAGCTCACGTACGAACAAGAGACACAGGACCAACGTCAAGGCTGGAGTGAAGAAGATATTGCAGCTGCGACATACGGCTGGAAGGGACTTATTCAGGATGGTGTTATCGAGTACTTGGATGCAGAGGAGGAAGAGACCGCTATGATCACCTTCTCACCTGAAGACCTGGATGCATGGCGGGATATGAAGACAGGTCGTGCACCTGATGAGAGACGTCTGAAGGATCCTAAATTCCGTCTCAGTAGCATCAAGCCGAAACCGGATACGCGCGTCCACGCTTACACGCATTGCGAAATTCATCCAGCCATGATATTGGGTATTTGTGCCAGTATCATTCCGTTCCCGGATCATAACCAGTCGCCTCGTAACACATATCAGTCTGCTATGGGTAAGCAGGCCATGGGTGTCGCCCTTACTAATTATGCGCTACGAATGGAGACTATGATGAATGTATTGTACTACCCGCAAAAGCCTCTGGCAACCACTCGATCGATGGAGTACCTCAAATTCCGTGAGCTCCCGGCTGGTCAGAACGCCATTGTCGCCATCGCTACCTATGGTGGCTACAATCAGGAGGATTCCGTCATCATGAATCAGAGCAGCATCGATCGAGGTCTGTTCAGAAGTTTGTTCTATCGTGCCTACACAGAGCAGGAGAAGCGCATTGGTGTCAACGTCCTAGAACAATTCGAGAAGCCGACTCGCGCTGATACCCTCCGTCTCAAGGGTGGAACCTATGACAAGCTCGACGACGATGGTGTCGTCGCCCCCGGTGTCCGTGTTTCTGGAGACGATATCATCATCGGTAAGACTGCGCCTATTGCAACGGACGCGCAAGAACTCGGCCAAAAGACCACGCTCCACACCAAGCGTGACGTCTCTACCCCCCTGCGTAGCACCGAAAACGGTATTGTCGATCAAGTTCTCTTCACCACCAACACTGAAGGCCTCCGTTTCGTCAAGGTCCGCACCCGAACCACCAAAGTGCCACAAATTGGCGATAAATTCGCTTCTCGCCACGGTCAAAAGGGTACAATCGGTATCACATACCGTCAAGAAGACATGCCCTTCTCTCGAGAGGGTCTTACGCCAGATCTCATCATCAACCCACACGCCATTCCCTCTCGTATGACAATTGCCCATTTGGTCGAGTGCCTACTTTCCAAGGTCGGAGCCATAGAAGGCCGCGAGGGAGATGCCACACCCTTCACCGACATCACCGTTGACCAGATCTCGGAGATATTAGAATCCAAAGGCTACCAGAAGCGCGGGTTCGAAATCATGTACAACGGACACACGGGCAAGAAGATGCGCACGCAAATTTTCTTGGGGCCCACGTATTACCAGCGTTTGAGGCACATGGTCGACGACAAGATTCACGCCCGTGCCAGAGGGCCGTTGCAGATTCTCACAAGGCAACCAGTGGAAGGTCGTGCGAGAGATGGTGGGCTGCGCTTCGGGGAAATGGAGCGCGATTGTATGATTGCGCATGGTGCAGCTGCTTTCCTCAAGGAGCGCTTGTTCACGGTATCGGACGCGTATACTGTGCACGTCTGTGATATCTGTGGACTTATGAGTCCTATTGCGTATGTTCCGCCCCTCTTTCTCTCCTTTCCCCCTTTCCCCCCTCCCTCAAATTTCCCCACCCCTGTTCCCCACAGCACACCCACCAGAATTCCAAAAAGCTAACTTCAACCCCCTCCCAACAGACAGCTCAAAAAAGGCCAGTACGAATGCCGCCCCTGCCAGAACAAGACCCGCATCTCACAAATCCACATTCCTTATGCCGCCAAACTCTTGTTTCAGGAGCTCCTCGCGATGAATATTGCTACACGCATGTTTACGGATCGCTCGGGCCTTAGTGTCAGGGATTGATTTGAGATTTGGAGGGTTGTTCTGGGGGTGTTGCGAATGCGAAGGTGGGAAAAGCGTTGTTGCGGATTGCATTGCGTAACTGGGGTTTCGGAGAAGACGCGGGACGCAGGTACGGATGAAGTGAGATATATGGGATCAAGGAACTTGAGTGAGCATTGCATATGGCGTTAACGACCTTTTATGGATATATCTTTCTCCATCTTTTTCCTACCTTTATTTTGGTTTGTCGGTTGGCCCATCGTAGATGATGGAGAGACAAGGGCGGATGCAATAGATGCAGATTGGGAAATACGAATATCAAATCTAAATTTACATCGTATTGTATCATATCATATCGCATTGCGTCATCCAAGTAACAACATCAACGTGACAAAACTTTGTTTTTGATTCCTCCTTCCTCCTTTTAAGGACGGGGCGGAAGGATGCGATATACAACCCCCAAATCCCCTTCCATTTCCACTCTCAGGCGCTACGTTAAATGGCAAGGGCAACTAAACCAGACGCCCTGTTTCCCTGTACCGCAGTAAATAGTAAATAGACAGTATAAATGATCGAGTAATACGGTGCTAGAATCTTTGCATTCATGCATGTGGATCTAATAGATGATGAACTGCAGTATCTCATATCTCGTGAAAATTACATATATAAAGTAGGTTGGGCTTGTTGTTCCAAAAGAATGCTTCCCGGATATTCCAGTACCGGGAGCAGATTTGACAGATGATGGATTTGATTTGACTCGTTTTGTGCACAGGGTGCTTTGTGGGGTATGTGATGATGTATGACGTCCGCAGGAGATTAAAGTGGTATTGTGCGAATCCCACATGGTGGTAGTACGACCATTTGCTGGATTAAGATTTCGTATCTGGCATGCCTTTATCATTCTGTCTTCAGCGCCGACGGTGGCTGTCGTCCCTCCTGTGTCGATCTCGACTTCTGTCCCGTCGATCGTCTCTGGGGCGGATGGGGCTGCGAGTGCGTTCACGTCGTCGGTCCTCGTAGCGACCGTCATCTCGGTGTCTGCGGTCGCGTTTGGGACTGCGGCTGCGCTCTCGCTTGAAGCGATCGTCGTGGTATTCTTGGCGGCGCTCGCGTCTTCGAGTGTCGTCACGTCGTCTCTCTTGATCTACGTTTCGTGGGGGCGCTGGTGCATTGTTGGGGGTTTCTCTGTCAACGACGAGGCGGTTCACCACAGAGTCCGGTACGATCTGGCGTCCCCCTTCGCGGTATTGCCTCTTTTTTTCCAGATTGTCGATGCCGCCGAAGCCGCCCGCTGCACGTTTGCGCTTCTTGTTTGCGTCATCTCGCCAATCGTCTGCAATCTTCGAGACACTCTGCGAAAAGTCGACGTGTATGCGGTGGTCGTCTATCAAGACGCCGTCCATCTTGAAGTAGGCCTGCTCGCAGTCCTTCTGATTCGCGTATTCGATGAAGGCGTACTGCAGGCTATCCCCTGTTCGCTTGTCGCGGATGACCTCACAGCTCAGGATCTTGCCGAATCGAGAGAAGATGAGCTCCAAGTCTTCGTCTTGTGTAACGGGGTTAAGTTTGCACACAAACAGCACGTTCTCAGGCGGTGCCACTTCGGCAAATGGAAGATCGCCAACCATCTCCAGCGTGAGCGCCTGTGCGCGCGCCTCACGCTCTCGGCGCACCTTCTCCAATGCTTCTGGGTCATTTTCCTCCTCGATGTTCTCATCGTAGGCTACTCGTACAGTTGCAAGCTGTGCTGCAGAGGGTACAGGACTTTCTGGAGGCTCTATAAGCCCGGCTGGGTCGTTGAACGGGTCGTCCAGCACAACAGTGTGGAGTATTCTGATGTCCTTGAGTGGTTGGCCGTTGTCATCGATATATGCTGTGTTGATCTTCTCAAGCGTATCAAAGCCCTCAACCACGGACCCAAAAATGGCTGCCTTGCCATCGAGGAAATCAATGTTCGGGCCCAGGGTAATAATGAATTGGCTGGCTGCGAACCGTTCATCAGGGTCGTCTGGATTGGGGGCCGTGGCCATGCTAACAGTGCCCATCTCCGCATGCTTTAGCTTAGGCCGGAATTCGGGCACAAAGGTCTTCTTTGCTATTTGGGTAGGCTCGAGCAAGCCCCATATCGAGCGGCCGCCATCGCTGTCCTGGGAGCCTGGGCCAATGGGGTCGCCGGTTTGGAAGGAGAAGTTTGGCTGAACGCTATGCACAGGCGAGAAGTTGTAGTACTTCACTTTGCATAGCTTAAGGAAGCTACGTGACCAGCTGTCAGTTTCTGTTGTGTGCTCAGCTTGGGAAGACAGCGGGAGAGAGCATGCAGGATGCAGACGCAGGAACATGAGGCGCGCGTAGGGATTGGATCTACTTACTTTTCACAGCATTTAGGCGCGTCGTCCACCAGCAAGTCGATGGTGATGTCGCCCAAGGAGGTTTCCAGCAGGACGGACATGGCTTTGGGCAAGGTGGTGCCGAGAACGAGTGTTTGTCGCAAGACATTTCCCCCAGGCGCAACAGAAGTCGCGACGGAGTGGAGCTAGAGCCTGGTCACGTGATACTTCACGTCGCTAGCTCAGGCACCTCGCCCTCCTCTCCGCCTTTGGCGTCTTGCAAAGGCCTCCTGTCAATAAACTCTGGGCAACGTTATTCAACATGCTTCACACCCTCCAATGCGTTCAGTGGCTTGTCTGCTCGAGATTCATATGACCAGGGGACATGCAACACAGTACCCACAGAAAGTCCTTCAATGTGTCCTACTATGTGTCCAGTCTCCTTCGACACACTGCACGACAGGCATACAAACAAAGAGACATGGGTGCACAACCGACGACCAGGAGCAAAGCCCTCACGTTTCAACAGCAAGATCTTCCTAAAGAGATGAAAGTGCGTCACTTGATGCGGGCCGTTGAACGTAGCACCCGCTGTGTACACTCCCCCCTGCTCGCAGCTCAGGCAGCCGTAATGTTCTGCCTCGTCCCGACCCGAAGACAATCCTACCCTATCGTTTGCTCGGAACCCTCGGCCTCAAGCCGAACATTGTCTCATGGTCAGCGCTGCCGGAGCTGGCTGCTACTACTCTTGGTATCCTCAACCACCGCGGGGTGGGTTGACAGTATGATTTCTCAGATCTTCTACTCTCCGCCTGGACTACTTGGAAATGACGGTACATCCTGAGTGCAGCGATGACTGCTGTGCTCACTCCACAGTCACCACACTCTTCGACATATATGCAAGCCGTGCATGGTACTTGTTTGTACAGTAACAGGTCCATGTCATATTGCAAGCGACAGTGCGTCACTTCCGACGCCACCTAGGGAGGTACGATTACTATGGAAGAGGGGTTTTCGCGAACATCCTGGCCCTCTATCACCCTATTGTCCCAAAAGAGTGATCCTCGCAGCATTACCACGAGCTTTGTATCCGTGCTGTAGTCGCTTGACGTCCAGTCTTTTGGGTCCTAGGCCCGTATTGAGCCGATTGCGGATCCGTCGCATAGTTGACGATCCTGCTGTATATGCACAAGGTTCATATGCGGCTTAGGGAAAATGCTCGAACAAATCTCCGAGGCGCTGTGATGTTTTCCTTAACCACAATGCATGATCTCAGTGGTTTGCTGCTAGCTTGGCGCAGTGTGCGTCTCGCCACAAACCTGCCCGATCTGTAACGCCACTTGGACATACACACAAAAACTGCATCTTCTACCAACAAGGCTAGCGTCTGCCCCGAGATTCAGGAAAATAACGGTGCTTTCATCGCTTGTTTTAGCCATACTTGGACAGCATACTACCAGCGGCACGACGATTCTTGATACTGGCGTTACCTCCCGATGCACAAGCAGACATGTCAGATTGGATGAGTCTTGTCTGACAGCCTGGGAACGAGTGTGAACCCGCCGGAGGTTTGCCCAGCTTCCCCGCTTGCACTAGATCTACCACATCTGACGAGAAAATGGCGACGACAGCGGCATGTTGCATTGGCACATATGAAGAATACCCATAGATCATCTATGGAACTTCACGACCTCAAACTCGAATGTTCTTTGAGCTAAGGGCTCCGTTTGGGTATACTAAGGGCCTCTCAGTGCTAGTAGTACGAAGTCTCCACTTCTGTCATTTCTCCCATCTGCTTGTAGGCCCACGGCCTCTCGCTACATTGTAGCTGTGACTTAGCATACTCACCACAGGCTCGATCTGCGTCCGGATCATTTCGTGAGAGAAGCAAGCTCTAGGCTATACCGTCCTCGGCTTCCACACTGCCGCGCCCCGATTCAAGATGTGCAGATGCAGGTCTGAAAGAATCCGATGGCCTTCAGGCCGAGGACAGATGATCTCCTGCATCCGAGCGCCAGGCAGCGACCATCCCTCAGCCACCCTGCTGACCCCCAACCAAATATTATACTCCGGTACTGGTGAGGAACAAAGAGTCGAAGCTTCGCATATGTAACTTGTTCCCGCATCCGCTGTGACACTACGCAGCTTGCAAACAGTGAGGACTTAAGACTTTAGTGTTTTAACTCCATGGTCACGTCTAGGTTCCTAAGCATGATATAGTGTTTGCAGTCTTTAATCCACTACTGCAGCAGCTTCACTCTTCATATGCGCTGTGGCGCTTCCGACGAAGGACGCTCCTTCTACCACTACCTTGATAACCAGCCATGGAACCGCCCAACCTAGACGGCTATGGCGCTTGTGAAATGGGACGAGTACAGAGATTTGGAGCACGCAGCGTGGTACCTTTGATCGTTCATGGTCGCATCTGGTCTAGCGATCCCTGCCATGTTGTGTCCCCAGAACCTGATCTCCAGGGCTTTGCATGCATGATTCCGTAAAGTGCATTGAACTCTCCCAAAAATCTAAGGTACAAACACTTGTCACTCATGTACAGTCTGGAGCCTCCTAATTAAGGTCTTCAAATAACATTCATTCGTCCACGTTGCCCAGCATCAAACTACGTGCGTGTCGTATCGTCGCCTCTGGCTAGTACTTGGTAGTGGCTGCAGTCTCTTCTCTATTGGGATATAAACGTTCGCATATCCGATGGTTGTTTGATCTGTTAAACAAGCAATTCCTTTTGATCCCATTTCGGCACAAGAAGACTCGTCACCACCAGATCAGTGGCTTACTAGCCGCCTTCCTTGGGTCAATCGGAGCAACGCAAGAGGCTGAGCTACTCTCATCCCATCGTTCCCACGCTTTGATCAGTCTCTCTTCAGGGTTTGTTCCCCTTGCGAGCATGTATTCATGAGTATTATGAGGCTAACATCATCACAGACTCCTGAACCTCCTAGCCATGGAGTTTGAAACCCGGCGCTATCTGCCGAATTCTGCTGTTCCTTTCTCTGACTACTATTCTCCTCTTCCAATTTCGCATACAAATAGAGTCAACGTGCGTGGGTACCCTACCGGAGGCCCTGTAGGTGGAGTTCACGGCCGTCTCGATTTGAGCCGTGATGAGCACCGAATCGAGGTTGGATCAGCGAGACGTCGCATAGCAGTCGCCGTATGTTGCCTCCAAGATCTGACCTATGAATTTTGCTGCCATATCAATATCCGTATCGTTTTTCGCATGATGTGCAGTCAAGAAACCCACATGAATCACCACTGACACTTTTTCTAGTGTGCGCGTTGTCGGAAGAGAAAAATTCGCTGCAGCGGTGATCCAGGAAACGGAGCAGGATGCGCAAGCTGCGCCATGGCTAATGTTGATCCGAGTCATTGCCAATTCCATAGAGTATGTGATCTCAGTAGGTGTGATCACTCATGCTGATCGGTTCAGGTCGGATCGGACCACGTACAGAAGGTGATCGATGGTATCAGTATGGCGCATAGCCTTACGAATATGTCCACTGCCAACGGTATGGTGCCAATATACTCGAACGACGGCAGTACTCCCTATCAGCGCCCAATGGCAACTCATCAGTACCCCCAAGTCGACACGAAGTCCGTTTATCCATCCACCTGGACTGTGCCCTACCAAGAAGATATTTCGCCAGTGGAGAGCTACCAAATAGATCAATCATCCATGTATCTACCCGATCCAACACCGATGGCTAATTCGAATGTATATGGGTCATCATATAGATGGAATCACCCAGTACAAAAGCAGTCCCATCATGTGCAGGCTTATGTGGATCCGGAAACGACTTATTCGGCCAGCTTGCCATACATGCAGCCTTCATATCGCTCAAATGGTGCGCCTGATCCATTAAGTAGTATGAACCCATTACAAATGAACTTGCCAGAGAGGCCGAACATGCGCCAGTATCACGCATCAGGATCGGGTTCCACACAGAGGCTGCTTCCAATTCCACAGCCCAGCCCGGCTCAGAATTCCCGTGTCAGCTTCGACCTAGAACATAGTCAAAGACTACGATCTGGACAAGCAATAGGATCATCAACATCAGACGACAAAACTTCCTACGGAAAATCGTTGCTTGCGTGGAGCAACGATGGTGAAATTCCTATCCACGGGTCAGGAGCAGAATCGGCAGGTGCCCTCGAAACCATTACATCAGCCCATGTTCCCGCCATCGCGGAATCAGGTATGAGTTATCTTCCTAGTACAACGTCCATGTCCAGCGATGGCCTAGCAACAAGTCTTGCACCGCAAGTGCCACTCAACTTCAGCACTTCCGGCCTTCTTGATCCAATGAGTGTTACATCGCCAGCAACGACCTATTCGAATTTTCGCGAATGTCGTGCTTCCAAATCTGCCTCGGCTCAAATGGTACGCCGGAGTTCTCAAAACACGTATTACAGCTTAGACTCTGACCGATCTCCAAAACGCAACTCGGTCAGTGGTGGATCTTCTAACGAAGGGACATTGGCAAGCGGCCTCCGTTATCAGCCCCTCCCTTATTCGCCATCTCAAGGTTCTCCAGGGAACAAGAAGTCGAGACGTGATGTGCTTTCAACCAGGCATCCTACAGCACACCGTGGACTAAATAATGATATGGACAGTAGCTTCCAGGCTTGATAATCATTTTTGATGCTTATCAAGACTACAATACGCGCGTCATTGAGCCTAGCTTTTTGGAGTCGGTAACATAGCTGCAATTCGAGGACCGGCTAGCGATCGAATACGCATGTCGGGCGTTCTTTTTCCTTCTCATGCTCTGTTGGCACGAGTGCGATTCATCAGCATACTTTCAACATGGAGCGATTTTCCTTGGTTTCGCTCGCCATGTTTACAACCCTGCTCATGCACGTTTGCATTGGTGTCTTTTTCAACAACTGTCTGGCGTACCTGGGACATGTACAACGCAGATTGCAGCCTTCATGGGCATTTTCTCTTAGTTCCACATTATGATTGTCTCTTCCAACATTGTCACATATGCATGTTACTCGTACCATTACCGGTTAATGGCGACAGGGTCATACTGCACATCATCTCGAGCATTTACTTGCGGACGGGCTCTTTCTTTACTGTATGCATTGCTTTTAGCATCAGTATTACGTACCGATACGATTATCTGTACGCTTTCAGTAACATTATATCTCCACTGTATCGTCACATCACCGCCAGTGATGCCGATACACAACAAGTCAGGGCCACTCATTTAGACCACAACCAGATAATCATCTAATTCCGATTGCTGAACTTCCCAAATTGCTAGAATGTCGTCCCCTAGCTTTGTGTAAACGTATCACTGTACATGCATTCTCGAAGGTCACGAAATGTGCGATTTTCGCTTCTATAGTACCACTATCCCACAAGAAATCTTCCTGAGTATCGTACCATGGACACAAAGTACCACAACACCCAATAACACAGATCACACGTACCAGAAAATCTCCATCTAACACGACGCTCCATCACACACTCACTCACACTCACACTCACACTTACACTTACACTTACACACACAACACAACTTACAGCGCGTCCCGCACTCACACGCCAGCTCCCACGGTCGCTCAAAACCTAGATTCGAAGAAAGGTCATGAACAATTTCTCTCTGTACTACCAGTCCAAACAAGCATCACCCCTAACACCTTGCACGCCCGCCTACGCTCGTTCTCCCACCCCCACCCCCCAACCCCCGGCTCGATCCCCCGCCCCTATCCGCACCAGAGCACATTATGTCCTCACCGCCGCATCGAAAACAGTACACCGCCTTAGATACAGTGCACACCCGCATATTGCGAAACATGCACGTTCGCGCTTGCTTTAGGACCCTGCTGCAGGAACAGGGACTGCGGTCTTGTCATCAATTGTAGCACAGGGTCGTACATGGTACAGTACGGGGGTGAGTAGATGCATTGGACATGGGAGGGGTGTGAGGGAGGCTCCGCGGGGGTGGTGAGAGGCTGGAAGTACAAGCCGTGTGGTTCAGAGGGATTTGGTTGGTTGAAGGAGTGGGTGGTGTGTAGGTCGGTCCGGAATACGACATGGGGTGGGGTGAGGTCTGTGTGGGATGAGTGTGGGAGGTGTGGAAGTGGGCTGGAAGTGGGCTGGTATGGCCTGTATGTGAGGTTTGTGGGAAGAATGATGCCCGTCGTTATCAGATGGAATGCTGGTCTTTGTGATGTGCCTGGAGCTGAGTTTTTATGGGGGTGTAAGACTGGTGAAGCTGGTGGTTCGAGGGAGGAACGTCGCTCAAAACTAGGCATTGTGAATGTGCGACTGAATAATGGATTCAATACTGCTTGGAGCGACATGGTAGATGCTCGACATTCTTCGGGAGAGAAGTTTGGCTACTTCTGACAATATCTAGCTTGTTCCACAAGAGACCCCAATGTTTACAACTTTTGTGTTTTGATGTTTATGTTGCAACTTACTCTTGCACTCTGAATATTATGGCAAAGAATAGATAGAGGTGGTGGCTCTAGCATGGTAGTCAACGTGGATTTCTAGATGGTCCTCATCCTGGTGATACCTAGCTTTGTTTATATCAAACACTTAGTTGAACTTCTGGTAATGATTTTTGTATGGGAGTTTTGTTCATCATCGCATGTTACATCCTATGATTAGGTCTCTGTTAGTAAAATATCATCACTTCTCGATAAGGACGATACCATCAAAAAGTTACAGCAGCCAGTAATCAAGCTTGACAAACACATTGAATTTATTTGAGTGACCTCTTACCGTGGGGTATCGTTCCTCTAAAATCTCCCCCT